TCAGAAAATTATATCTGCATTTGTCTTACAAGAGCACAACAGGAACCAAAGTAAAAGAGTGTAATGGATACAGCACATAGGATAAATCATATCTTTAAAATAATAATAATAAAATAATAATAATAAAAACCATTTTACACCATGTCCTATATCCTGCTAATATTTTCAGAATATGGCCTTGATTGTAAAACAAAAGCAAGCATTTACAATTTCTGGATAAAGACTGCTTACTCTTATGCAAGGAATGGATGTTTTGTCTTGACAAAATCTTTGTAGTTACTGGACAGAAACATCTCTGTTTCAATATCAGATTGAGTACAAAACACTGGGGAGACTACATTTTTTCTTACTGGTGGTTGGAAACTGAAGTTACATAAGCAGAAAAAATGTTGGCCCTTAATGATACACCTATTTTTTTCTTTGATGCAAACAGCTAGAACACCTTTTTGATATTCTAAAACAAAAAAATTGTTAATCTTCAGATTAATAAATTAGGTCATTATAATAATAAATTAGGTTTTTTTTTTTCAGTTTTAAAGTTCAGCAACCTCTGACCAAGTATTTACAACAATACTTGAGAGTTCCTTTACAAAAAATACATTTTTTTTTTTCACATTAAGCATACTGGGTATCTGTGTCTCTTATGACAAGCATTTGTAAAAGAAAAAAGGCAATGCACAAATGGGTAATTAGTATAAAAGTGCCAAGACCTGTTTGGAAAGTTAACATTGTATTATACAGTCAGAGTTATAAATGAGGCAAGCTACAACAAACTTCCAGCTTAATGTGGACAATATTCCAGTAGTTGTTTCAAACAATTGTTTGAAGAAAAAAAAAAAAAAAAAAAAAAAGGAAAAAAAAAAGAAAAAAGGAAAAAACTAATAGAAAACAGGTTAGCCGATGGTGTTATTCTATGGAGCTGATTAGTGCTGCATGTATATTGTCATCAGTGTCTCTAGCCAATGCATTCATTAAAAAGCCTTTTTAAGGCTAAGCAGGAAAAGAAAAATAAGAAACACCCTGAAATGTAGCAAGAGCAACGCTTACTGCTATAATCGTGCACGTACTGTACACACGCAAACACAAGAGTGCACACACACACACACACACGCGCGCGCGCACACAAACACTTTCAAATCAAATCAAACTGTAGGTAGAATGAGATGCTCTTTTCTTGTCTTTCCTAAACTCACAAGTGATTAAGCATTGATATGGAATGCCTGTTTATCTGTTTCTGCTCTGGGTAAAATCTCTCTCAGATAAAAATACATTCAACAAGAAAAAAAATAGAAAAAATATATACTGTATACATAGCATTTTATATATACAGTATATATATGTATAGTGTATATACACATGCACGTATATATACATATGTATACCTACATGCATTTGTATATACATATATATACACAAACATACAAATACTTTTTGTTGTTTTTAGCATAATTATATTTACATAAATATTCCTATAATGCTAAAGTTTAAAGAAGCATGATCTCCTTTTTTTTCTGAGCTTCAGAAAAGGTGCTTGAGTAATATACAATTAAAATTAAGCAGCTTCCTAGCATGGAAGTAGTTTCTAAATCTGCATACCAGTAAATAAGAACATCAACAGGAAAAAAACAACAACCTTAAAACAGTCTCTTTTGTACTCTCTTGTAAGCAAGAGCTTTGTCCAACAAAAATATTTTTCCTTCTCCTGTATGAACAACCAGAGATTGATATAAAATAACAAAACAAAACCACAACAGACAAAAACAAACAAACAAAAGCCCCTGGAACTGCATGGTGTTCTTGACTTTTCCTTCCTTCAATACTGCTGTCAAAAGATCCAGTGCTCTCATCAGGAATTAGTTAGGCCTCAGTCATTTGCTAACTCTGCCGAAGTCTGGCTAATCTAGCCAATCAGCTTTGAAGAAAACAAAAATAAAACCAAAAAGCAGCACAAGGTATAATTTTATACATCCTTAATAAATCCACCCTTTATTTTCTGCTATCACTTTTTCCTTGCTATTTCAGTAACTACTGCAGCTTCTCATCATATAGAAAAATATTTGCAGCTACACCACACCTGTGATGTGATGAATTCTGTTCTAGGAGTGTATTACTGTAGCAACAGCTGGGGAAAAAAAAAACAACAAAAAACCAAAACAACAAACCAAAACAGACATTTTCATGTTTTTCTCACCTGGGGTTAGGCTTTGCTGCAACAAATGCAATTTCAGAGCAACTAGGAAAACTACTATCCTGCTGCTCTGCAGTATCTTTATTCATTTTCTTCTCCAGCCAAGCATGACCAGTTTTTCTTCTCTGAAGCTTCCTTTTACCTCATTGTCTACCCCTAGCCCCTGATTCCCCCTCCCAAAAAACCTCTATAGCTATGTTACAAGCAAATACATCTTACAAGTTTTAAAACTTTGGTTCTAAGAAAACACTTGGTCAGTTATCTCAAGGAAAAGTGGGAATGCTTTTTCTGGCACATTGCAGGAGTCAGAGCTCATCCCAGTAAGGTCTTAGAGCTGTACATGTAGTCACAAATCCAATACAATCCACTAAGCAAGTGCACAATTCTAGTTTTATTTTAATAGCAGACAGTCTCTCTCTCTCTCTCTCTCTTTCTCTTTTTCTTGAATCCTTGGTAAGGGTGCAATTCTTCAAACTGTTTGATAGAAATTATCTGCCTGTAGGTTGTTCTGTTTCTGCATGCTGTAAAATCCACTGTATCTTGAATCTGGGTCTGCAATTCTTAGCATCCTCTGAGAACTGTCCACCTGGACCATGGTACCTTTCTTGCAGTCCACATATACCAGCTGATTGTTTAGGCAAGAAGGCTGTTAAAACAGAATGGGAATATTGAATCAGTTAAAAAAAAAAAAAAAGTTTGGATTCCACCCATAATTAAGAAAATGTTTATGTTAAAGTCCATAAGCACAAAACAAAATCAAATTGGCAATGAAAGAGTCTGGACTTTTGCTAAACTTGGTAAAGGATTATGCCACGCACAGTTAACAGACCAAAACCCTCTTCTGAATCACCATTTTTATTCTTCTGAATGGAACTCTGGTATTCCTATATCCAGTTCTACTATTCCTCTGTTTGTGATTCCTTCAACTGAAAAGATTCTGCAGCTGAGAGGAAGGTGAAACAATGCTGGGTTGTTTCTACCAGCACTACCTTAAATGTTTATGGGCTAAGCACGAAGGAAGACAGGCAGTAGGCATACACTATGGTTATATACAAAGTTAGTGACAATGCTCACACTATAAGCATGCTACAAATCTTAAAAATTCCCTTTTCCACTGAGGTAGCTTCTTTTTCCAAGAATCAGAGGGGTTTTCATTACTAAAAATTTACACTCAGTAACCCTTATCACAAAAAGTATTTTTTACCCATATATTTATTACAAAACATTATTGTAAAATGTTTTACATTTGGCTCCTCAAAAGTCTGTGGACTTGATTCACAAAGAAGTCCCGAGGTTCACCGATGTTAATGGAATCAGGACTAAGCATTAGCAGAGTCCATCTGTAATTTTAAACATCTTTTCTATAATCTTTCTTTAGGTATGGATATGATTTAAGCACAGTTATTGATTTGTTCTTTATTGAATAGTTGGACTATTTTGAACAGAAAGAACATAAGCCAGAACAGGCTTGCCAAAATTCATTACTAAGAACCATCAGACAACCAGCAAGAAATTGGAGAAACTAATGAGTGACACCTAGTTGAAGAAACCTTAAAAGAAAGCTATGTTTAATACAAAGACCCTCACAAGAAATGTGAGTTTCAGTGTATCCACGGTCTTGCACTGAATCTGTATGTGGCTTAAAGTGAACTTTCTTAGCATATGCTAAGATGATGCCTTCTGGTGACACTGAAAAAATGTTTCAGTAATAGAAACATTTGAGGAAAACTATGTTTCATAAGTAGAAAAGTATTTAGAATTATTGATTATAATGCCATGGTTAGAAAGTTGTGATTTTTCATTTCAGCTTCAACCATTTTGTCACATAGCATGTATCAGCCTCTGTGAGAGTACAGGAGTGAATACATTAAAATTGCCTTTTAAAATGTATTCCTCATGGAATTCAGAAACTGGTATCGCTTACTTGTCTTGAAAGACTGGTAGTGGAATAATACTGAATCTTCATGCTTCCTATTTAATTACAATTGAATTCAACTTTATGGTCTGACTATATTTATAAGCATTCTGGAAAATACTTTTTTTTATTAAAAAAGCTCTGCAGCAATGACAGAAAGAATATGGATACTTCATTTTTAAAGTTACTGTATTACTCTTCTAGATGGAAACAAAGAAAAAATGCTCTCAAAATGTGTTCAAAGTATGGAAAAAGTCTGTTTGATTACAACTAGGAAATATAAGTGGGATAAATTAGGGAACTGATATAAATGGCATTTGAAGATAGAGTAAGGGCTTAGTATGTTGATGGAACTATTACTCAAAACAAAACAATACTCTTTTCACTGTTCATTTCCAAGCTACCTGCCTCTTCCTTTTTTTTGGTAGTCTCAGAATACTGAATAGGTAAATATTTCCTGAGATCTCTCTTAAAATAATCCTAGAACCATATGATGCTGTTATTAGAAAATGTGATAAACACTATTAGTAAACACAGTACCTGATATTGGACAATACTTTTAAAATGGATGAGAGTTAAGAAAGCAAAAAATATTCTCTTATGAGTTTGACTGGCGATAAGAAAATTGCATGTATGTGCCTACACATATACAGAGATGGGTGGGGTTTTTTTATTTTTTTGCTAAGCTTGATTTCTATCTAGTGACAATTCATTACTATATGGAGCAGGAAATGTTTTAATTTGATAGTGAACAAAATTATTTAGGAGACTAAATATATACCAACAGACTGACTGGTATAAAATGATTTAAGATATAAAAAGTAAATAATTTCAGATGATGTGAACTCAACTGCATCCTACACAATATTCTAGTTAATCTTGTTTTCCAAAAAAGTGAAAGCCTGGAAACAGACATAAACACGGCACCTTTGTTGGAGCTTTGTAGCAGGACACTGGAATCCACTGCTTTTTCTGATTGACTAACAGAAGGACGATGATCAGTAACAGCGCTATCGTGATTGGAATTGTCACCAAGGCAACAGAGCTAACCGACGGATCTTCACTTGGGTGCGGTCCACTGCCACTTCTGTACTCTCCCTGGAGATGACTCATGTCTGCAAGACAAATGTGAGCATCTGTTAGTAATTATAAATGGGCCTTGACCATAAAGAAAAATATAATTATAAATATCCCAGTCACGGCTCTTGTCACTCACATAAATTTGTACTTTCTCTCCTGAAATGTTACCTTATTTTTATAAATAAAACCAACTGAAAACTAGTATTTTGTATAGTGACCATATTAGCTGGGAAAAAGCCATCAAAAATAGAGGAAATAGGATGAAATCTAAAGCACAATAACATCAAGTCTGACAATAGTCTCTTAGCTCAGTTGTGTTCACATCATCTTATCTGATCACAAATTCCCACTTGTAAAAAAAAAAAATCAGCCTGTGTTTCTATGCCAAGGAAAACCTGAAAGTGTTAGGATGAAAGTCCTTTCCCCCCGCTTTTTAAAACTGGTAAAACAGTTATGATGTGTATGCTCTCTCATTTGTGGAGAACACATTACAATACTTGCACCACTCAGCCTCTGAAAACAGACTGCTGGCAGTCCATTAGACCGTAGCAAGTTCTGCATGCAATTGCAAAGAATGGTAATTCTCAATGACACATACAACATTCCCACACAGTTTGCAGTATGTCTTTATAATCCTCAGCCAGGATAGTTGCAAGACAGCTACTAATGCCTGTGAGTAATGAAAATGCTGTAATTATAAAAGTGTAAGCTTACGATTTTGTAAAGCAGTTACATTTCATGTATCCTTTCGCCTAGCCACCAGATGATAGTATGCTATGAGATAATCCTTGGATTTAAAAAGATATATACAAGTTTCAGTAGTCCTTCAATTAGAAAAGGTTAACAAAGACTGTGTCATAAGAGTGTTTCCCCTACTTGGAATAATGATTTCAGCACAGTTTCAAACAAAAGATGGATTTACATTCTTAAGACAACTTTATTAGTGTCATTATACCTGAAGTGGGTTTTTTTTGTTTGTTTGGTTTTTTTTTCTTCCCTGTCTGGCACTTGTCTATGATATATGTTAAGTTCTGCCACAAGTTTTCGTTGTTTTATCAGTATAGGAATGCCAAATGGATTACATGAAGGTCTATTGACTCCAGTGGCCTGACGACTGCCCGCATTCTAGTTTCTGTATCAGAAAAGACACTGCAGAATCACTCCTAATTCAGCATTTTATCACACTCTTAATTTTATAGAACTCCATCATACCAAACACAGATGTTTCTTCCAAGCTGTAGATGGAATGATAATGAGACCAAATTGCATAAATATAATTCAATAGACTGACTCATATCTCTATTCAAAATAAAATACATGTAAGAGTTCTGCACTGAAGACTATTTCCAGATAGCCACCTTTTTAAAGCATTACACCGATGCTACCTGGATAGAACAAAGTAGATGCATCAAAACATGGGGAACAAACACAGACCTAAGTTAGCCCAGTTTATATCAAATATTACCTCTGTGAATGTGGCTTATATCATTTTCACTTGGTGTTGGCCAGTTTGGTACTTCTAGTTCAATGTCTCCTCGATGATTTGTCTTCTCAATGGGGATATTAGTAGGTTCAGGTACGTACATCTCTGAAATAAGACAGATGTGTTTCACAAATTACAGGCTGCTTAACTTCCCAGTGCTGCTCTTAATTCAGGAAATATACTTGGCCATCGGCAGTGCTTTGGCCTATGAATACTTTCATTTGTTTTAAGAATTTTCACCATTACTAATCTGCAATTTAATTTTAAAACCTGTTTCATACTGTATACAAGATACATGCCTGCTGCCATTATCATTACCCTAATGTGAATGGGATTATATAGTCCTGGTATTTTCAAATTTGTTTTTGAAAATACCATTTCAGAATACACACTTTACTACAGCCTTTGTCCTTTGTGATACTGAACAACAAAAATGCAAGGGGAAGGCTGTATCTTCCAGCTGGTGTGTAAACTGTCACTGCTGCTTTGTCTTCCTTTTTTTGTAATCCTCAAAGTAGGAGAATTGCAAGAGGGGGTACTGCTCCATCTCCCCAGTTGTCCTGTCAGAGTTAGTTACCAGTTGACTGAATAGGATGAACAAACTCCTGCAGAAGTATGTCACAACTAGCATTAAAAACCAGTTGCCATTCTCATGTCCTTTGTGTCCATAGCTAAGAAAATTTCATATTACTTTTAAGCCAAGTTAAAATGATAAATATAGCAATGTAATATTTGAAAAGTAATTAAGGTCTCAGAAAAGACAGAAATGTTAATCACTGACAGAATCTGCAGAGATGTAAGAATATTTATTTCCCTACTTCACTAATTTATTTGCATAACCTTGTGAAAGGACAGAGCAGGGGCAAGCAACTCATTTTTGAGTTCACAGTTCTCAGAATAAGTAAAATCCAAACTATAGATTTGCACAATATGCTTGTCTGTTAAGAATATTAATTTTTCCTGAAGTCTAAATGTCTGTTGTCTTCTTGATGCTATTCAAATATGAAGTGATGTTAAAAAAACAATTAAAAAAACTTCTTATCAGTGCTGAAAAAAACAGCATTACAATAATCTGGGTTGTCTCATCACATTACCTGGACACATAGGGCAGCAGCTTCCCTCCACGTTGATGGGTTCAGCACAAGGGAGGGGTGGGCAGCTGACAGTGGAGCAGAGAGTCTGACCCTGCAGGCAGTAGCAGTGAGTGCAGCTGTCAATGTCCCAGCGTTCCTCATCTGCGTATGTTTTTCCATTGAAGTGGCAGACCACTTTCTTTGGAACTGTATCCTCTGTTGAAAGAAAACAGAGTGGTGTGATCATGCAGTCGGTAATGACCAATTACACACAAATCTGATTTCTTCTCCAAACACAAAAGTGAAACGATGCTACAAAGAAATCCCAGCTGTAACCAAACAACACTCTCCTCATCTTCTCAAAAATCTTTGTTAACAACAAAGTGTCTTTTCTGATTCTTTATGAAGTACATAATTAGCCTGGGCTGCTTATCCTCATTTTCCTCATGTAATAGGCCAGAGGATGGATGACTGGGACATGAAATGATATCAGAAGTGCTGTGAAAATTAAGAAAAATTGATTTTTTTATGTTTGACTAAGATTCCCAACTACTCTTCCTTTCTTAACTAAAGCCTATTTAACTAAGAAAAAAACCAGACTACCTACATTTCTAATTACCAAGGTTCAAGAAAGATTAACTCAGTCTGGAATATTTGAAGAAAAGATTAGGCAGGATGCCGAGGAGGATAAAGCAACTCTCAGGTGACATAACTAGAAATGCATAGACTATTATGATAAAACAGATATGAAAGAGAATCTCATCATTCTCTCTAACTGCAGCAATGGAGAAGTCCAGGAAAAGGGCAATAACCAAACTCACTACATTTTTTCATAGTTAGTATTCTACAAATAGGAAATTGGTGCGATCTTAACACTCAGAAAAAGTGAGGTTCCAGAGCACCTTTCCCAAAGATTTTGAGAGCTGTGAAAGTAACAACTTTTCAGATAGATTTTGACACAGTATGTAATAGGGGCCTGGACTTGATGAAGCAAGTAAGGTTGTGAGAAAATGCTTAAAAGGAGCATTACACTCGCTGCCCAAGCATTCAATACAATTCAATTTTATCCTACATCCTATGCAAGCCTTTTAGGTGCAGTATATCTTCTAATTCACTGAGAAGAGAGTCATGAATTGTTTAGCTTAGGATTTTTTTGCTGCTATAGCACTTTATAGATAATCAAAATAAAACTACACAGCAGAACCTCCAAAAGCCAAGCAGCACCTCATTTTCATCGTAGCTGCTTGCTAACTTTTTTCTTAGAAGCAGAAATTATTATCATGAAACCTGCTGATGACATGAATCTGCAGATTAAGCATATGCATAAGATAACAGAATGAAACTGCAAAGTAACTTCTTAAACTGTCAGATGACATTGAAATACTGGTTTAACGGTCACACAGATTACATATGTAAATATGTCAGAATTACCTCCCAAATAGAAAATAAAAAGCCTAATTAAATAACTTAGCCATCAGTACAGCTTTTAATTAATGACAACATAACAGACTGACATCATTTGGAATAACAAGGTTAGCAGTCATCAGACCAGTGCAACAGATCCGTACAGAATAAATTCAAATAGAAAAGGAGACCAGCAAGAAATACGATTGTGAAAATACTAATGGAATTATCTGAAAAGCAGAAATGTTCCAGGGGGCCTTGGTTCCATGGCTGTAAGTATGTGTCCCAAGCTCTCCAAGTAGAAGATTTTGTAAGTGAATATGGAGTGGACATGGGAAAAGAAGAGTGGGAGGAAAAGACTGTTTTTCACTGTGAGGGTGGTCAGACACTGAAACAGGTTGCCCAAGGAAGTTGTGGATGTCCCCTCCCTGGAAGTGTTTAAGGCCAGGCTGGATGAGGCTTTGAGCAACCTGATCTAGTGGAAGGTGTCCCTGCTGATGGCAGGGGGATTGGAACTAGATGATTTTTAAGGTCCCTTCCAATCCAAACCATTCTATGATTCTATGATTCTATGACTGCAAGCTCCAAAAAGCACATTAGGTTCTTCCATAGATGACTCACATGTTGGCATATAAAGCCAGTGGAACCTTGTGTTGGTCAAATAGTAGATATGGCTGGGGAGAGGGTGAGGTGCACTGCCTGAGCAGTCCTCTACCCCTCATTACTTAAGCAGACCTAAAGCTGAGCACTCCCTGCGCACTCAGGGCATATTTGCTCCCAACACTCAGGGGAGCTTCTTCAACTCAGCAGCACATCTGGCTGGAAAAGTCCTTTCACTTGCTCAGACTTTTGCAAGTTTGTAAAGAACACATCACAGTTTAATACAGTTTGTTTTTTTTTTTTTAGAAGAATGAACAAGGGTAAAATCACAATAGCAGTGTTACACCTTTGCACCTCGAGGAAAATTTTAAGTCCTAAGAAAGTATTATCCTGTGCGCATCTCCCATTTTGGTGTCCATCTCTATGCAAGTATAAGGACAGGATGAGGCCACAACACCAACAAGTGCTCAAGAACAGAGGGAACAAGAGAGACTTGCAGTAAGAAACCCACGTACAAAAATGCAGTTCAAAATACTATGTCTAGTGTACCTGTCTTCTTTCAAATTTCCTCTAGCTGTACCAGTACATCGATCTCATCTGGTAAACAAAGAAACAGTTGTTGCTCTGTTTTCTGCAGAAAATAGATAACCCTTCATCCTGTCTAGAGTAGAATGTTATCTCTTCAAATTAATCTTTCTTTGCATGAAAAAGAAGAATGTTGAACAAACAGGATGAATTTGAGGATTCAGACAAACTACAAAGCATCCAAGGCCTGTAAGATTTTGAATTTGAATCCATACTAACTTGTTCGGCATTAACCAGATCTGGATCCAGAAAGAAGCAGAATAAAATACAGTGTTAAAACCCTGCATAATTTTCAAATTTCTAATAAATGAAGAAGGCCTGTTACTACAGAGTTTGCCTACCAAACACTTCATCAACTATTGCATCAAAATAGTAAGGAAGAAGGTGTACAAAGATGTGCTTCACAATTCTCAATAAATGAAGAATAAACCAGCAAGAACCAGTAAGTGCATGACCTTACTCCTCTTACAGGAAAGAGTATGTAGTTCATAGAAATCATTAAAAAATTAAGTTTCCATGAATTTCAGTTACTTAGGTCACAAAACGTACTGACAACATAGTACAGCTTAGATTAATAGAATGTATTATCGCACACAGAATCACAATGTCAGGGATTGGAAGGGACCTCGAAAGATCATCTAGTCCAACCCCCCTGCCAAAGCAGGAACTTAAATGAGATCACATAGGAAGGCGTCCAGGCGGGTCTTGAATGTCTGCAGAGAAGGAGACTCCACAACCTCTCTGGGCAGCCTGTTCCAGGTCTCTGTCACCCTCACAGCAAAGAAGTTTCTTCTCAAGTTTAAGTGGAACCTCCTGTGTTCCAGCTTACACCCATTGCCCCTTGTCCTACCATTGGGCATCACTGAGAAGAGCCTGGCTCCATCCTCCTGACATTCGCCCTTTACATATTTATAAACATTAATGAGGTCACCCCTCAGTCTCCTCTTCTCCAAGCTAAAGAGACCCAGCTCCCTCAGCCTTTCCTCAGCAGGGAGATGCTCCACTCCCTTAATCATCTTGGTGGCTCTGTGCTGGACTCTCTCCAGCAGTTCCCTGTCCTTCTTGAACTGTGGGGCCCAGAACTGGACACAATATTCCAGATGTGGCTTCACCAGGGCAGAGTAGAGGGGGAGGAGAACCTCTCTTGACCTACTAACCATAACCTTTCTGACATCTTCCTGATAAAGAATAGTATTGTTTATAGATGGGCAAGTTGATTCACATGTTTAATTAACAATACTTAAAGCCCATTGATTTCATTATATTCCTTTTTACTGAATTCTTTTCTACTGTATGTCACCCTACTACTTTTGGAAATGAAGGTTATAGTAAGCTCTGAATGCTTCCCAACAATGCTACAAAGACTTAATGTTAGTAAGAGCATTATACAATTCTTTTCTATCACCAGCTTCCATTCTACAGGCTTTGTACTTACTGTGAGCTCACAAAAAAAGTAATCTGTAAATAAATACTCCTATTCAAAATGCAATTGAAAAGCTATCAGTAATCTCAAATTCTGCAATTTTAAAAATACCTGGCAATTTTCACTATCTACAGCATCCACCATTTATTCCAACTCCAAATTCAAAACCAGTGCATGGCCCTTAATTCTTTATGCATTTTTACTATATTTAAAAAAAATATTTTCCATATTTTTTTCTCAAACGTATTATTTTGCCTCTTCTATAACTATCTTTAATTAACATCCTGGTTTTTCTTGTATTTTAATTTAGATGCCTTTTTAACACTTCACCATTCTGTGAAATTTCATAATGCTTCAGCTTATCTTCTGCAGTCATACTTAATATTTTCTTCATATTATCTCATAAATCTTATATAAATGTGTTACCTGGCAGATCGTCCTTTAAATAAAAAAATTTCTGTGTTAAGTTTTCATCTAGTAAGGTATATTACCAAGTTTTCAGGAGGATGTTCTCTCAACTTTGTAAGCAAATATTAAATATACATTTATATTGTGCACTTCTACCTAAACCTCACAAACCATGATCCTTAAAGCTCCATATGCAGATTTCACTCTCCATTTCAACTGAAGGCACAAACTGCAGCTCCCCAAAACAGGGAAAACATGTTTCAACTTGGAAATAAAACTTCTTTCTTATTCCCAAGAAGGCAACAGCAAGTTAGCAATTATTTTTATTTGCTCACCAATACAGTAAGGACAACATTGTCCCTTTCTCAGAACAGGTCTCTCACAGGATACTGGTGGGCAAGACTCAGAGTAGCATCTAATCACACCATCCATGCAAATGCAGCTAGTGCAGACATTGGGTTTCCAGGACTCAGCTGTCAGAAAAATATCTCCTTCATCATTTTTGCAGTAACTGGGCATGCTCTCATTGCTTGATGAAGAGGACTGAGGAGTCTCATCTGTAAACATAAGCAGATTAAGTTATTTAACTTACAGTACCTAACTTCTCTTGTATTTCCTCAACTGAGGGTTCACTCTTGAAGAACACAATGGAATTGTAACACATTGGCTCACTACTTTGGAAGAACTAGAAGGACAGAGTCTTATGCCTGTTCAGTCCTTACATGTGACGAGGATCTCATGATGTGCTCTAGAAAAAAGTTTATGTAGACCTTTATTGAGTTTACTTCAAAAAAGAAAAAAAAAGAGAGAGAAAAGGACAGCAAAGTGAAAAACAATCACCACACCATCAGAAGCATCCCCTCAGAAAGCCACTCTGAAGGCTCTGAACTGATTGATATATAGAAATTCACCCTACATTAGAGAAATTAAATTTTAAATCTAAAACTTGAATCATAGAATGGTTTGGGTTGGAAGGGACCTTAAAGATCATCTAGTTCCAACCCCCTTGCCATCAGCAGGGACACCTTCCACTAGACCAGGTGGCTCAAAGCCTCATCCAACCTGGCCTTAAACACATCCATGGAAGGGGCATCCACAGCTTCTCTGGGCAACCTGTTCCAGTGTCTGACCACCCTCACAGGAAATAATTTCTTCCTCATATCTAATCTAAATCTGCTCTCTTCCAGTTTAAAGTCATTACCCCTTGTTCTATCGCTACCTGCCTTTGTATTAAGTTCCTCCCCAGCTTTCTTGTAGGCCCCCTTCAGGTACTGGAAGGCCTCTATAAGATCTCCCCGGAGCCTTCTCTTCTCCAGGCTGAACAGCCCCAACTCTCTCAGCCTGTCCTCATAGGAGAGGTGCTCCAGCCCTCGATCATCCTTGTGGCTTCCTCTAGACTCATTCTAACTGGTCCATGTCTTTCTTGTGTTGGGGGCTCCAGAACTGGACTCAGTATTCCAGCTGGGGTCTCACTAGAGCAGAGTACAGGAGGAGAATGACCTGCCTCGACCTGCTGGCCATGCTTCTTTTGATGTAGCCCAATGTACGGTTGGCCTTCTGGGCTGTGAGCACACATTGCCAGCTCATATCCGGCTTTTCATCCATTTTATAGATGAAGATATCTCATTTTATGAGACTAAGCTCCTTATATAGCTACTGAGGAAAGATCAGCTTCTCCAAACAGTATTTTTAAGTTAAGCAAAATGAATGTTCGCTGTTATTAGTAATGAGAAAAATCGAAGTCAGGAGAACTGGCTAACTTTTTCACTGAAAATATTTTGCCAGAAAAAAACCACCCTAAAACCCAACAAACACCCTGTAGAAGAAATGGTAAAACCTAACTTTTTTTTTTTCCCCCTAAGTAAAATTTTTAGATTTTGTTTTTAAGAAAGACAAATATTTTTTTCAGTGAGTTTACACACAATTCACAGGTTTGGAATAAATTTCCACTGCAATGAACTCCACCATTTGCTATGTAAAATAGCAACTCACATTCATTTATAGTTGCATCACTTTCCTTGGGGAAAAGCAAATCCTGTTACCTTCTCAACACTGTGAGGCAGTCTAGGAGGAACCTGTCACACCTGCTGGGCTGAAATGCTTTGATATTACTCAGTTGCCTTTAAGTCACTCTCAAATCATACCAGGTGATGGTAAAAGCAAACAGAAGCATTTTGAGACCCAAATAGATAAGATAGTAATAAATAGGTTCATGGAAACCAGGGCACATAGAAAGGAAAAGGAACAAGCCTGTATCTGCCTAGCACTTTGACTACTTTCAAAGTTTCCCTAATCCTGCATGTTTCCATAAATGAGCCAATGTGTATTTCATAAACCTTCCAACTAAGGATTCTGGTTCTCATGCAACCCTTACATTATTAGACTGCCTTCAAAGAAGATGTTCAAACTTCAGGGCCACAATTCCCCTTACATATAAGGTATCTCTTTCACACAGACAAGTTTTGCAGTTGAAATAGAGGACTGCAGGCTCTCACTCCCAACTGCTAAAGAATAAATGCACCACAACAACCTACTGTGCACATACTAAAACATTCAATATACACATCATACATTCTCAGATCAAGAAAGGACACTGATGAAAGCTGGTTATCAATATATACCTGGGCACTGTGGACAGCAGGAGTCCTGTGTGCGGGTAGGATTTTGACAAAGAAGAGGTGGGCAGACTTCAGTCTCACACAGGACACGTCCACTGTGGCATGTACATTGTGTGCAAGAATCAATATTCCATGTCTCTCCTTCTACAAAGTATTCGCCACCAGGGGCATGACAGATCGATGGACTGGTGAGCTCTGGCTTCTGCACAATTATTTCATCTGGGAAAAACAGAATTGGAAGACAGGTAAAATCAACTGTGACTCTAATGATTAACAAATGTACCCAAGATTAATAATTTCTGTTATAACTGAAAATATTAGGAATAACAAAACCAGCTATAAATATATTCTTAATGAAGCTCTTTCAACTTTATGTCACCTCCATCTCATGGAAAATGGGAAAAATATAAACAAGAAAATTTGAGAATCAGTCTGAATAAATGCTAGTTAACCAGAGATAACTTCAAGCATTCTTGGCATTTCAGAAAAAAAATCAAACCAACATGTGATGTAGGAATTCCAAGAGACAACTATAATTTTCTGAAAAATTATACTGATGGGACAGTTTCTTAACTGCTAAATATTAGCATCAGTGCAATTCTTGAAAGAATGGATAAGTACACTTGTCTGGGATTTAGGAAGTTCAGGTTCAACTGTCTTCCTTTAAGTTTCTTAAGTGGCATGTGTCTGTACCATTTGGTCTCAGATAGAAAATGAAAAAGAAAACAACAGAAACCCCCACCAAAGCCCTAAAAACATTTAAGCACTTCATCACTTTGTTCCACTAATAAATAAATAATTAAAATTAAATAATTATCTACAGTCTTTGAAGTAAAAACTGGACCCAAGGAGATGCCAGTGTGTAGACTCATATTTCCAGTGACTATATCTCACCAAATAAACCTTAATTCCTTTTCAAATAATTAATTACATTACCTCTACAACCCTGGCTAAAAGACTCACCCAGCCTCTAACCTAGGCAATTTAGAGAATAGATTTGACCTCCTTCAAGTTAAGAAAGGAACTGAAACTGCTTCCTTTGTTCAGCATGAATGTCCTCCAACAACTGCATTATCAAAAACATAGGGGAACTCTCTTTATCTCTGGGTGTTTTAAAAGAAAAAATGAACTTGCCCTGCACTTTCAAAGTGTTTAAGCACTTACCATCAAGAAAAGGTTATGCCACGAACTGCATCCCCATAGCCTACTTAAAATGCTTCAAATCCCACTCCCACATAAGAGGCAATAAGAGTTGCCAGCTTACCATGCTGGTTGCTTTAGACCTGGAGTGAGTTCACCAGCTTTTTCCATGCACTGTGTATAGGAATCGAGATGCCTCACAAAGAATGTTTTATTCAGCTACAGAAGCCATAAGTTTGCAAGCTACGTGCTACAATGTGAAGCTTCAGGCTTATAAGTGATGCTGTCCTTCAGCCTGAATCCAACCCATCTAACACTAGACAACTAAGTTAGGTGCCTATGTTAAGAACTGAGCTGCCTCAGGTTTCCGGTGCTATGAATGGAGGGGAAGAGAAAGTGACTTCCAGGTAACAACTCTACATCTCTAAACCAGTTTCTGAAGGTCCCTCTCTCCTACTCCAAGCACTGGAACAGGCTGCCCAGGGAAGTGGTGGAGTCACCGTCCCTGGAGGTATTTAAAAAGACGTGTAGATGTGGCACTTGGGGACATGGTTTAGTGGTGGACTTGGGAGTGTTAGATTAATGGTTGATGACCTTAAGGATCTTTTCCAATCAAAATAATTCTATAACTACGAAAGACGCCTAATGTGAACGTCATCTTAATCAAATATATTGGTTAAGGACAAAAAAAAAAAAGGATAGCAGCTCCTCTAGTTATTTAGGCAGGCCAAGGCTCACAAAGTGCATGTGCCTGTCTCCACATTTGTAGCACTGCTGTACTTGTCTGGAGAACTGTGTTTGTGCCCTTTGCTCTGGGACATTGCCATGTAGAAGACACACCACTCTATTTGTTTTAATTTCTGGAGAATAATCAGTAAAACGCAAGGAATCTGACTCTGACTGATCTTACTCTGTTCACAAAGTATTTATGCATTTCTTCCTTCAGGGAATATATTTTATCTTTCACTGATTTGCTTATGCCATGCTCTTGCTATTGCTTACATTTATGAACCACATATGTGATTCCGTAGCATTTACCTGAAGTGAGATAGCTGGTCTGCTGCCTTGTCACTGTTTGTTTTTTTATTTCAGCTGGAACAATACATTACATTTTATACAATCGCATCCTAACTCACTGTGGCAAGGGCAATACTAATTATTTTCTGAACATTTTCTGAGTTATCTCCTTTGCATTTAGTTCTCTGCAAAGTCACAGGCCTGTTTTACTACCGCTCATACACTGTTCGTAATCAGAAAAGCATAACCAGATAGTACTGCGGTACATATGGTATTACTTACTGCTCCCTTAAGAGCATTGATATTGATATATCACTGCAACCGAATTCCTACAAATGTACAACTACTATATTCCTGAAGGAGCAACTCGCCAAACAAATACACACTTTTTGGATAGCATGGTTCTACAAAACACTAGCATTTAATGGCATTCTAAATCTTACAGGAAACCTAGAGCTTTTCACAAGCATTGCAACAATCCACTTAAACCTCCTAATACATATAAACAGGGTTATAGACGAGTAGATGTGGTGCTTAGGGACACGGTTTAGGGGGCATGATGGTGTTGGGTTGACGGCTGGACTTGATGATAGAGGTCTTTTCCAACCTTAATGATTCTATGATTCTATAATGAACATTGTAACTGTCAAGGTCTATCTTTCTCTGTTGAAAACTAACTAAATACGGAATTGAATGTAACCACTTTTTTTTCAGCCTGAAAGCTGCCACTTCCCTGTTGGTAAGTTAACAGTGCAATTCAAAACTCAGTACAACAGGATTACTAATTATTTCAATATCCTTATGCCAGATGCATTTGAGTGACATGCTCAGAGTCTCACAGTTCCAAACTGCACTCCTATCTATTGAAAGCCATGATATTTATTTAACAACATCAGTGGGAAATCAATGCATTGCAAAATAAAATCAGAAGTACTTTTCTAACAAATATAAAACCTCAGCGGAGAAAATAAAACCACACTGGGACTAATTTGGCCATATTAATTCATCCACTTATATATGCAATCACTTTTAAAAAATGCTGTGTCTGCCTTAAATTGTAAGAGTTTACACCAAGTATGACTTTGCTAACACAGCAGTTAGGTGACTAGTACCTTGAAAGCAGGAAAGATGTCAGACAGAAATTTATGCAGACACTGTACCTCAAAGGAACAGACGCTACTGGGTAAGCAACTGCTCTTTTACACAAGAGAACAACTTGATTCTGATGGTGCTCAGAATCAAACACTGATCTCATCCACAAGAAACATATAGTGTGAGAAGATAGGTACTGCTAATCTCATACTGGTCTTTCTTCCTCAAACTGAACATTAGGCTTATGAATGGATTTACCCAAACTCATTCTCCCTACTGAAAGTAACTAGCCACTGGTGCCACTGAAAGACCAAAATTAACCTTATTTTTCTTTGAATGCTCTGAGGCATTCTATATGTGTTAGGGAAATCAATATGCACAAGTATGCTCATAGTGGAATGAAATCAGGAATAAGTCTTGGGGATCTAACAACAGAATTGCTGGAACTGGAACAATCATCCTACATTTTAAATTTTGAATCTTGAAAGTTTATCTAATGCAAGACTGATATGCTAACCTGTCCCCTTCCATATGAAGTATATAATCCCCTACAATAATCACAAAACATTGTGAAAAGGTGAGTGACTGCTACAGATACTCCAACAGTTCTGTGCAGCCCTGAATTCCAGCTAGTGCGAGTGGAAAATAAAAAACCCGTCCAGTGGCATGACTTTAGGAATATGATATTCTGTATTCATTGTTTGTTGTTTGGCTATTCCTTCTGGAAAACTATATTAATAATTGAATCTTTTTGTTGTTGTGGTGGTTTTTTTTGGTTTTTTGTTTTTTTTTTTTCCCCGTCCACACTGAGGTTTCCTAGGGGATAGAGCTGTACTATGCAAGACAGACTATGGATGTGCGTGTGCATGCAGGGAGCTGGAAGAAAGAATGACAATACCTGATGGGATGCATATGGAGCAACACTGCATGCTGCTCTGGCAAAAAAATGTGCTCCAAGCTGATAAAAAAACTAAAGCTCCCTTTAAGAATCTTATGATGTCTAGATTCCCCATCTAGCCAGATACTTGATAATGGAAGAGAAGGAAGTAAGCAAAGGATGGTTCCTCTAGTGTCAATAACTGAGGGGAGTATCCTCCTTAGTGTTTCCATCTCAGCTAAAAATGTCATTAATGGTAGTCATTACTAAGACACTAAGCACTAAGAGCTTGGCCTCAGTGACCACTGCTAAATTACTTAGTATTGAAAACAGCACTGGCTCCATGAAAGCAAGTGCCAAAAGCAACACCACAGCTGGCCATGGAACTGCAGGAACCACACTGGCCAGTCTCAATGCTAAGGGAAGGAAAGTGGTGCAGACAGAGAGGCTGAAAAGGAGACAGACCTTTTGGAGTCTCGCATCTTTTTGGAGTCTATGTTTTTCCAGTTACCACAAGGTGTGGATTGGAGATCACCATTTGTCTAAGTAATTCAAAGAGACTGGTTATCTTGCATCCTAGGGAGGATATGCTCTTCTCTGTCACTCTCAAAAAGAGGATCTGGATGTTTATTTTGCTCCTAGGATTTCCTCTTCTTTACGAAGAATTTGAAAGAATTCACAATTGGTTTTATCCTTCTGGTGCTGTCTTACCATTTTGCTATTTATAGTATTATGATGAACCTCATTCCTACTTTTAACATGATTTCCAATAAAGTCATAGACAACACTACTGTATTACAAATTAATCTATTTAGCGCATAAAATAGTGTAGGAAGACTGGGCATTGATCTTATACTCTACTCACACTCTTATTTCATATTAACACTTATTAAAACTGTATTGGAATGAAACATTAATTGTACTTCACCTTACCACTGAAAGCATTAAGATAATCTTCTACTGCTGCTTCTAGAAGCCTTCCCTCAGAACACAGAATCATAATTTTCAGTTACTTAAGACATCTGTTTAAGCTTGTACTCCTTTGAGGGGTTGTGAAACATAGATCAGGAGATGAATTTTAATAAAACTCAAGTTCAAATTAAAAAAGAGAAAATGTAATGGCTTATTAGAATATTTCCTATTATATGTAACAAAATTGTATATGAGTATGAATTTGCTATTATAGCTAACATAGGCTAGAAAATTTTTGTAGTTTAAAGATTTCAGTGTATCAAACATTAACATGTTAGGACCCACAACATGCATATGCTTTAAATTAAGTTCCCATTTTTCACATCTGAGATCTTAAAGCCACTCATTGTGTTATTTTTGGGCACAAAAACCTTCATATATACCTGTTACTGAATGATGCATGAGATTATTTTCATGTACTGGGAAACAGAACCCATACAAAATGAAACCTGATTACAAAGCATATAGAAGCAAGCATGTTACCTGGACATGATGGGCAACACTGTCCTGGATGTATGGTGGGGTTCCCACAATTAGGAACCGGGCAGGTGATCAAGGCACACATTTCCCGTCCATTGTGACAGTAACATTCCCTGCAGCCATCGTGCCAGCTCTCCTCATTCTCATGTCGGCGCCCATCCATGGACAGGCAAGAGCCTGTTTTAATAGGAGGCAGAAGAGAAGCGGTTGCCTCTGCACAAAATCAAAGGAAAATTAAGTGTTCTAATAAGCATGTGTTGCTTAGGAAAAAAGCACAGCAAGTTCATGATTGCATTTATTTTTAAAGCACATATAAAACCGAGTGAATAATAATTCTATCATTTACACTTAGAAATATAGTAAAAACACACACAAAACAATTAAAGGGCATACTGAAGGGGATGGTGGGAGGTAATAGAATGTATGTCCTTGGAAAATATAATCACTTCTTTCTGTTGCACTTATAGTGGTTTTTAATCATAAAGTACTGGTTAAATAATATATATAAAAAAGAGAAACAGCAGAAAGCATGAAGTATTTAAAATGAACTATTTAAATATTACAGTGTATTACGTTATCTATAATGTGAGTATCTGATAGTAAGTAGAATATAAAAGCATTTACAAGAGCTAAGGATGGTCTTATATCGTGAATGATAAAAAATTACAAGCAAGTTATAATGGGATCGTGCTAGAAGCATTTCATAAAACACCTATGATATATTATTTGGTTACATTCCTAGCTTTTGCTGAGATGAGAACATAGTAGCTGGGACTGCTGCACTACTTGCACTCAGCCAGAACACACAAGCAGTTGGTCTAGGGAGGATAAAGACTCATTTGTATCTTAAGAGCTATTTAAGTGCTGCAGGATCCAGCCTCAATATATTCTTTGTTAATCAGGAGAGTGAATTTAGAGCCCAACACTCCCTCACGCACATGATGATGATGATGATGATGGAGAATTTAGGATCACCAGTTTGTCAGTGAACTGACTTTTCAGTGGTATGTCAACCACGTTCTGCTGACACTTACATATATGTATAAGGTTATTTGTAGTAAGTTGCTTATTTAATTTTCTGTTTCAAAAAGGATGAAAAGTAGTAATGTTTATAAGTGGTCTAAGAACCATAAGCAGATGGTACAAAGTTAGTTTGATGCACGTTATCAGCATAAGAACCCAATACACAGAAATTACATTAGTATACCCATCTTGTGAATCAAAAAGAAAAGCCACAGAAGGATAAAATACTTCTTAAAACAGACTTCACCCTATTGCACGAACAGGAATACCATGAACAAAATTTACATTCAGTTACTACACTTTTATATTTTAGTATCAGATTATATATTAATTCCTATCTGAATTAATATCACTGAAGAGAGACACTGATAACATACCAGACAAAAATGTAAACATTGGTATGTTATCAGTGTCTCTCTTGTAACAAGTCCCAGGCTGAAAAGCAAAACGCAGCACTATTCTAGCTACTGAAAAAGAAAACCAGCTCTGTTCCAGCTAAAAACCAGGACAAGAAGTATGGTTGAAAAGATCTGGGATTACAGTAGCTCACAAATAAAACAAAGTCAGTAATGTGATACCACTGCAGAGAAGGCAAGTTCAATCTAAGATACAACTACAGGAGCACTTTAAATTTAAAAGCAGTGTTTCTATCTCTACTGGTTTGAAGTTTTTGCTACTGCTAAAGTACAATATTCTGTTTTGAATTCTGATGAGAAATCAAAATAACTGGGTTTATTTTACTTAGAAACCTCCTCCAAAAAAATGTTTAGGGGGCTCCAGTTGCAACTCCTTAAATATTACAAGAATTCAAGTGAATGCTGCTTAGCTGTTTCATATGTCTGCTGAGCTTAGGACAAGAAGTAACCAGTTCAGTTTGCAGAAAGGGAGACAGATATACCAGAAAATTTTATTTTAAGATATCACATAGTGGTAACCACAGGAAAACATTATTTTAGAGAGGGGTTTGTTTGTTTTTCTTTTGAGAGTGGAGATTCTTAATAAATTAAATCTTAGACAAGCATCTGCCAAGGATTATCCAGATACACTCTATTTGATGCGAGGGCAGAGAAATGGACTTTCAGTTTTCCAGGGGGCTACCCCAGCCTTGTACTTCTATGGTTCTACTTCTATTAATCCTAGCATAAGCTATTTCTGGCAGAAGCAATTTAGAAAGTGGAGCTAATTCACACGCAGGGGATTTATCCATCCATTCCTCTTACTTAGGGATTTTGTGTCAAAATTTTAACACAGACTCACAGTTCCTCCAGAACATACTGGTGATTGCTCTAATTATTCTTGGGCAAGTTGCTCATGAAGTGATGTTGAAGTGATACGCTCATGGCTTGGTATCTTTGTGATCACAATAGCAATAAATACTACTTAAGAGAGGGATCAAGTTATTTTCACTAAATATTTGTGCATATTTAAAAATCCATTCTTGTTAAGGAAAGCCCTTAAAAGTGTGCATACACATAATTAGTAACCAAAAAGTTGCATCTATTTATAGTCTGGGATGTAATTATGGCACACTTAAGAGACCACCTTATGTGTATTTCACCACAGCATCACGACAATCAGAAGTGTGTTGATTGTGAACATGGAGACAAATGACAAGATAAGTCACAAGAATTGTCTCGATTCAGCAGTATCGTTTCTTATTTTGTTATAATTGTCTGCAGTCTATGATGTCATGTGGAGAAAAGATAATGTTGGACAATTCTGATATATATGATTGCATGTTTGCCTTCAGCTACAGGAGAGAGACTTCAGGAACTCATACACACTATTCCAGTCCCTTGTTCCCATAGCTTGTCTTATTACATTTTATAATTTTTTAAAATACAGAAGAAATAGCTGCTAAAAAAGTTATGAATGGACTCATTACAAAAAGCAATGGGAAAATAGTCAAACTTACTTGCCTATACCTAGAAATCAAAATACACAAGTAAGAATAAAAGAAAATAGGCATGAAAGAGCAGTCAGGATCAGAGAGAGCCTGAGCACGAATGAAAAGTTATTAAATGCAACATGTGGAGATGAGCAATGAAGTCTGATACCCAGACTAATAAAAAACACAAACTGAAAATATCTTTAAAAAGAGACATGTTAGAAGTAGCACAAAACTAAAGCAGACAACTAATGAACACCATATCTCAATCTCCAGCTTGAACTTGGTGTTTACAAGTTTGGGATGTGGCACATGTGAAAACTTTAGCTTAAGAATACCCAGTCCTTTCTCCTGGGTAAGTGCCCTCTCTACTAATTGTTTCTCAAGTCTGCCTGAAGTGTCCAAGAAACAGCACTCTAATTTTAGGTGGTGTACAGGGCATCTATCAAATCCAAAACTTGAGTTTGTAAAGAAAAGACGATGGTGAAGAAGCCAAGATGAACACTGCTACTGAAAAAAACCCAGATCCTTAACTACCTTATTTCTAGTAGTTACTAAGAACTTGATCTAGTTTTTATTAATGGTAACAAACTGATTTTTTTGACTTTGTAATGGGATATGAAAGTGGAACCGAGGCTTTCTGTTGAAGCCCAGATGAACACAATGAACACCTGCAAAACAATACACTCTTCTGAGCAAAGTTGATCCAACTCCCCACCAGTTACCGCATTTTAATTCTTACATATTCTGTGCAGTATTCCTTTTCTTTTTTTCTAGCTTCCAACTACCTTGGGTACAAGTTGTAATTAGATGTGGTAATGCACTCACACATACCTCTGCACTTGCAGATAACACAGCCGTGATTGTTCTGCTGGAAGCCCATCGGACAGATTTTACCACAAGGCAGTTCTGGGCATTTCTTACACCGACAGATGTCACAGCCATGCTTGTTCTTCCTAGGTGACAAAAATAATTTGTAAAACGTCAGCAGGTCACTAAAGAAATGACTGATCAAGTAAAGAAAATTATCATTAACGGTCGTCCTTCGGTTCAGTGGGTCTAAGGGGTGTGCAGGTCTCCATCCCTGGCGTGTGTTCCCTCCACGTGACCGGCAAAATCTCTGCATTTGGATAATTTCAAGCCATAATGTGCTTGCGACTACTATTGATGATCAATTATTTTTTCAAGTGAAAAAGTAGAAAGAATAACTTCTAAAACAGTAAAGAAGTTGAAAGGGTATGGAGGAATCTAATTGCTATGTTTTTATCACACAAATTACTGTTTTTTCCTCCAACAATAGGTAAAGTACAGTAGATTTCCTCTCTTGCATTGAACACTACAGAGATTTCCAAAAACATTACATAAGCAGACACAAAGCTTACTTGAAAACTAGCACATGGAATGCCTACAACCTATATAAAAGATAGCAGACACACAGTAACATATTTTGAAACAGAAAAAAACAGAGGACTTTTAAGCAGAGTGAGAACAGAGAACCAAGAACACAAATGCTTCCAAAGCTTCCAGATGAAGCTAGGCAGGAGCCTAAGGGCATCACCTGACAGCATCTCTTCACAGCTCCATAAACATGCTGCTTCTGAGAAGCTTACACTGAATATTTGCTTGTCTGTTTTTAGGACTAACTTTAAATGTTAGTAATTTCATTCAGCGCAATTATTTTTATATTTTGAAGACAGTAACAAGATTAGGTGCCTATTTCCACCGTTTGTGGGTTGTTTTTTTTTTTTTAATTACGATAATCTTATGATATATTAGACACTTATGTTTAAAAATACCAGCCAAGCATTGTACATAACTGAATTACATTCTACATTTAAAATGAGAATTTAAATTGAAGATTATTTTCCAATTAGCTTAAAAAAGTTAAATGTTCAGGGTTTTTTTAGGTGTACAAAAATGCACGGGAAAGATCATCGCAAAAACAGGGTTCCTAAAACACTAGCATCAGCTTGAAATCAGCTTGTTTTATAAGTATCTTTATCTTTCTCTCAGCTACCATACTATGCCTATTAATATTTGCTGTCATTTCTAAAATGCTTTTGCTACATAGTTCACATAGATTTTCTAATATAACTGTTTCATGTAGACTTCAGTTAAAAAAAAAAAAAGAGAGAAAGAGAAGTGTGTTTCATCTTATCCAAGTACAGAAAATACACACATAAATCTGTAATTTTCTTCTGTAGGTCAATATACTAAATGAGTCATACACACAGGCTAAAAATTACTACTCTCTACAACAAGCAGTGTAATTCTGTGGGAGGCTGAACATCATCTTTTTTATAATGCTTTCTATTTGAAGATGAGCTGCATGGTTCAGTGCAAGCCTGTGGAGCAGTCCTGACCTTTGTGATGTTTTCACCAACCTCCCACAACTCCTCTGAATGGGATATGGTACGATGGGGCAGACAGCATGCCTTGGGCTAGGCAGTGCCCGGGTAAGTCATTAAATGGTCCAGAGCTGATGCTCTGAGTCAATGTCTGATCAAGGTGTCATTTTATCATGTCTAGGACTTCAAATGAATAGTTGCAAATTGCAAGATTCAATATTTATGCTTTTTAACTTTAACCTGTTTACTGTTTTTCTTCCTTTTCAGTAAATTCCAGATTCTTTCAATTTCTGAAGAACTGAAAATCTGAGTTCCCATTTTGAAGCATATTACTTGATCAATTTCTTTATATAAAACTAGGCCTATCTATCTTTTTTCTCTTCTCTTTGATTTTCATTCAGAAAACTGAACTGTTTCTGGGAAGACAGATAGCATTAATGCAAGCTTCAGGTATGTTCACATTGAAGAAGATGGCATGGACACCTTTAGATTTCCCCATATAATCAGCTAGATTACTATTGACACATACCACAAATTCTTTAACAATAATCACCTTAAGTGCTTAGGCACAGGTATCAGCAGGATGATACTTGCAGATCACACAAACTAAGGGATTCTATAAGTCAAGAGGATTGCACTCAAACAGAAAATTAGTTTATTAAGGTGCAAAGTATATTAGGTTCCATTCTTGGGTTCTTATCTTTCTCATTTTTAGAGATTTCTCCTTTAAGACCTTTCAAAATAATGCAGGCACCTAAAGTGCAACAAGAGAATGTCAATAGAATTATTTTAGATTTTTTTGTTGTTGTTGTTCAAAAAGGTATTCTTGATGATTTATACTGGTGTGTCAGAATAAAACCCTTAACATCACAGGTCAAATTCACTGCAATCTAAGGGTCATCTTCCAATTATACATGATCTTCCTCATCTTTGTTTGAAACTTTCTTTAGAAAACCAGTTAAGTCACAGTTCATGAGAGACCATGAAAGACAGGCCTCTCGAACCAAGTCACAAGTTTCTGAATTAATCAAAGTTAATTAATTATTTAATTCAGTTCACATGGAACAGCCAACTTCACTGCAAAACTAACAATACTAAAAAGATGCATAGAAGACTACAGTAAAGAGAAAGTTTTGCTTAAGAAAAGAAAGTGAAAATCAGAAGTTGCAGATTAAAAATATATGTAAGTAGAAGTAAGGGGTGCATCTTTACTGAAAGCCAAGGAAGAAAACAGGACCAAAGAAAATGCTATTCTTCTTAGCAGTTATACATGGTCTGGTCACTAATGAGGTAGACTTAAATCAAGAACATTACTGCCAATCTCACACACTGGGAGCACAGGCTCACGAATGGAAATTTACTATCTTAACTTATGTTAACAGAATATTTGCTTTTTCCTGAGGATTCAGAATCAGTTCACCACAGGTTAAAGTCTCTACAATGTGGCATTTAAAGTTGAAAAAATACTGTCTACTTTCCTCTCAACAAAAATTACAGTTTAATAAAAGCAAGCAAGACAAACTTGCTCATTATGTGAAACAGAGTATTTCTTCCTAAATACACATTGCTAGGAAAAGTTATTGTACAATAAACTAAAAGAATGTAACAGTAAACACATTTACACAAGCAACACACATTAACAGTAAATTATTTTGGTAAGTATAGGTCAGAACAATCCTTATCAGCAATAGCAAAACATTTTTAACACTTCAGTGTGACATCTACATTGGGACTGCCAGTGAAGAAAACCAGTACTAGTAAACTGAAAGAAACCAAAAGAAGAAACAAACTTGACTGCTTTAGCTGCTGCAGAAAAGTCAAAGAATAGAGTTAGCTGGAACGTAAATAAACACCTAGACCTTGGTTCATTAATATTTTCAAGCTATTTCTGTATAAATCCAAAAAGGCAATGACAAGAGACATTAAATACACCTTATTTAATGGTTTCCTCATAACTTTTCAATAGGTTAAAGCAAATGGCCTTGAAAATTAATAATTAATTTATGCACTTGTAATATAAAAATTTTAAAAAAGCTTTTCCTGTTCCAAGCTGAACAATATTCAATCACGCTAAGTAAACAGCAAAGAATTTTGTAGCTCATACCAACTGTCTTTGCTTTTATGTTAACACATTAATGCATACACTCCTTGAGCATGTGGATGAAAAAAGTCTTCTTAGATTCTGTCTATTTCAGCGCCCCTTGAGAAATGGTTACACCATACGAGGACTATATGGCAATTTCCAGTAAATGCTTGAATACAGTAGTAAGTTGTATTCCCTTATTGCTATTGGCTCATCCCAGCCACCCTTCCTCCTGATTCCAGCGTGGAGTTCTCACAGTTTCAGACACCCCAACACCATTTGCCTCTTTGGCTCCCAGCTTTAAGAGACTTTATCTTGGATTTTGTGCCTGCTCAATGGCATGGCTCAAACTCCACTCTCAACAGATGCTTTCTAAAGAATTCTGCATGCTTTTTACTTGTTTTAATTGATGTTACTCCTTTGATCCTTAATGTAAGCATTTTATCCTATCTAAAAACTGAGACATCTAACCAGTCATCATTTCTGCTCAATCTTTCACATTTCTTTTGTTCTGCTACCCATCTTCAGCTGTCCTCTGAAGCCACTGGGCAAAAGTTCTGGGAACGACAAAACTGACATCCCTTTTCTGTAACTTCCCTCCTGGTCTACCTTCTCTCACTTGCAAAACTAAAAATAACTCTCAGCCACTCCTGAAGTCAACATGTCTGAAGATAATTTTATTAAGCCTTTTAATTTTGAATTCTTACTTTTCCTCTCTCATCTACTGAACAAATGAAGTTTGATTTAATCTTTGTAGTCTTTCCTTCATTTCGTCCTATTTCAATCGTATCACCCTCATGAGTGCTGCTTCCTGCAAAAACTTATAATATTTAACCAGAGGCAAGCCAAATTCTGTATCTCAAGTAACAGATACAGGATTATATTAAATGGTATTACTTCAGTTTGTTTTGCTGAACTGCTAGAATGTAGGTATTTTAAAATTACATTAGCGATGCCTCAAGGATCCAAGTCAAGCATCCTTTCTAACGTGGAGGGGGGCGGAAGTGACTCAGTGTTTTCAAGGCAAACATATTCTTCAAGCATTCTTTTTTTTTTTAGTGGCTGTGTATTGCATATTTGTGCTGTTACTGTTCCATGGGATATGGATCTGCTTTTTGTTTGATGTAATACCACCATGTTTAGCACCATGCACAATGCAGGAGCTGTATGGGCAAAAAGAGGGAGGTCAACCAGCACATTCACTTAAGTGGAACACCACTCTGTGGCTAAGAATAGCATGAAGATTAGAGGAAGGTGCAAGGCTGGTATTTTATTTTTTTTTTTTTTTTTTCACTTTGGCAGCAAAACTGGAGATAATATAAATTGTTCACTGGCACCATCTATTAGCAGAGCTGATTAAATCTGTGAGAATGTCACTATGTTTCAGCTTGATTTATATTTTTATAAAATCTCTGGAACCTCTCTGGTCATTCAGGTTCTACCATATTTTGGTAGAACCAATATGGTTTCTACCATATTTCTATCATATTTTGATTCCTCCAAAATTTACTAAAACAGCATACTAAGAGAAGGACACATGACACTATAGATTACTGTTACAAAAATCTGCAGCATTTATCAACAAGTGCGAAACAGAACTCTGAAATGAACCAGAAAGTAAAGGAGTACTAGTATCAAACACTAAGAGTTGCAACTTTAGCACACTTCATTACAAATCCTAAGAAAACAAATTACATACAAATATTATGTGAAGATCAGATATCGTGAGATAGAAATTAAACTGTTATGAAAAGCAGGCAGTAACATGGAATGGACCCATCAAAACCAAAATGTATTGGTAAAATGTATATAGAAGCCACCAGACTGATTACTAGGAAATTTCTATGTGACAAAAGATCTGCCCAGTTTTCATCACCTGTTTCACAAATGAATAAATACTGCAAATATTTGCTGTTATGGAGAAAGAACTTCAGCAACAATACAGGTTTTGAACACATTTACAAAAACTTAGATAAGGGACGGTACTGTTCCTCATGAATCCTGTAAAGTAACTGCCAGATGTGTCTTACTAAAACTGTCTGCTGTCATATCATCATTTAAAAACCCCTTGAAATATTAGAAAATCATTTGAACAAAATAAATGTGCTATAACATGAAAGGGTATCTCAGCAGAACATGCAAACAGAATTTCAAAAAGCTACATGCAAGAGATATTACTTGTAAGTAGCTTTTTCATCCTGTTTTTAAAATGTTCTTCAAAAAAACTTAAGCACTGCTTTGCTTTTATAATCTGCTGCTGGTTTTTTAGTTGCTGTTTCTTAATCTGTTGATCAAAATCCATTTTGAAGAACACTTTAATCTCACATCAAGTAATGACGTTTCTGTTTTCCTACATTTTCCCCTGCTTTGCCACAAAGTAAACACAAGTACATATGCCTGGATTTTGCATATTTTCAACATATAAAGGGATTGTATTTAATATTCTTTCAAAATGAGAATACGTACAAGTATCCAAAGGGACAGTATTTGTCACATACAATGGGTTTGCACTTCTTAGGCCGCGGTCGGCACTGACAGATCTCACAGTTGTGGATGTCAGTCTGGAAGCCGAAGGAACAATCCAAGGAACAGCCCGAAATGAGGCCGGTACACAGCTCCTCCCCTGCAAAGGACACAAGCAGGTTATCACAATGTGAAAACTGGTTATACCAGACAAACGCATGCACAACAGACTAAAACTTCTGTTCCCTTTTACTTCATAACCTTTTAAATACTGGTAAGCCTTACCTTCGGACTGTCCTAATTTTAAAATATTCAACAGAATTCTCCATTAATTACTCAAACCTTATGAGCAGACACTACAGGATGTCTTCAGTTCCAGTCAAGAACTGGGGAGTACTGCCTGGTACCCTAAACTAACACAGTTTTATCAATAGATGCACAGCCAAAGGAGCCCAACATCCATGACTCTGTTGGCCTTTAATAAAACATTTAAAAGAACATGTACTTTCAACAGATTATATAGATTTAATAGCTTTCTGTTCAATATAGAGCACCTATATATCTCCTCTACCCATTTCAAATAGAATGGAAAGGCTGAGATATATTAACAACTTTTATTCTTTATGCTGTTTGTTGTCACCTGTTTGGTGCTTAAGGCCTGTTTTCTAAAAATATAACTGTAATACCCTAAGATGTGACCTAAGTTTAGAGATGCTAGAATAAAAGACCTCTCTTGAAATCCACTAACGTGTTTTATCAGCCTCTTGTGGTGTAAGGGAGATGCTGGACCACTGGTAGCAACATTTCTCCAGTACAGAGATAAATAATGGTTATTACATTGACTCTCATTGGAATGTACTGTTTTGAGAATGATCAGTTTCTTTTTGTTCTTCTTGAAAGAAGAAGTGCTAGAAAGATCACTTTTAACATACTCTGGGATACAAAGTTCATTTATTGTTTGCAGGGGTGAGAGGAAACAGAAGATGATAATTTTTGTCACATTAGGGATGCAAAACAGGGGAAAAAATGACCATTATTACAATAGCCAAAGCGAGATCAAAATAAAGAGGGAAATAAAACTGAGATTCTTCAACAGAACATGATGGGTGATATCCAAAGGGCTGACTTTCATAGTGATATTTAAAGGATGGCTGATCTCCAGTTGAAACATCCACACCACTATGAAGTGCTGGTTATACAGAAGGCAGCTGAAGAGTGCTGCTCCTCATTCAAGCTCTGAAGACCACTTTCCTTTAGGGATATGAACATTTAGGGACAGGGCCTTTCCAAAGAGGAGATCAGCACATTGACTTACTCTGTTCTTCTACTACTTATGTGGGTCTGAAATTTAAAGATAATCTTCACATCTCTAACATGGTAATACACTGAAGGAATCTTTGCTTTATGTAAATGCTTTCTCTTCTGTTTTTGTAATGTTGCATTTAAGACTTCAAAACACAGACTTAATCAGATATGGTGAAGCCAAGTGTTTCCTTTTCTATCCCACCAGTTAATGCTCATTTGCTGTGTTTCTTAGTACCTCAGAGTGAGACTGAAGCCTCAGAGAAAACTGGCAAATTCACTGCCTACTTCTGCAGTGGAATTTGGGTATAGAAGTACAATGAAACATAAGAGCCTTATTATCCCAAACAACAGTTGTCAGTTTAAGTGGGATGAAGATCATCAGGTTCATGGCTCCCACCTCTCCACTTTTATGCAAATTTTCTGTCTGAAGCAAAAAGGGTCCAAGTTTTTTGTAATAATACATAAAAAGAAATGCCAGACCCTTTCACAACCTCTACAGGTTGTCTTTGTCAGCAGAGCATCCAATGACAAGATTTAAGCATTTATTCTCAGCCAGATCTAAACTTTACACAGCAAACGGTAACCTTTATCTCAGGTTCTTGCTTTACTCGGAGAGAAACACATATACAAAGATCTTCATGAAGACTTACAAGTTTTTGAAGGATAGAGTTCAGGTAGATTTATCAAGAATACTGTATTTTTTAAATACATAGTCACTAATGCTTATTTTAAAATATTATAACACAGAGAAAACTCTATACTCTTGTCTGGTAAAGAGTGATGTACGGATAACAAAGATGACGACTTTCCTTGAAGCAAGTTAAAATAATGAGAATTTGTCTTTAATTTACAATCTTTTACACTAGGATGTTTGCACACAATTATTCCCTGGCAGCATATAGCGATAATAAAATTAACTAAACTTTTCATTATGCATGACTTTATAAGGTAGTCATAATTTCTAAAGTTAGACTTGAACTTTTTAAAGAATGTACGAAAAAGTACATCTACACTGGAAAATCTCCAAAAAGAATTAAGTTCAGTTACGACCTTTGATATGGTGTAAGTTATGGTATCTCCTGCAGATGCTCAGAACTGATCAGTGAATAATCCTGGAATTGCACAGGTTGGATTGATCAGAACCATTCATTTGCTGAAGCATACTCTGTCATGGAGATTAAGTGTTTAGGTGGATGTCCATAAACATCAGGCTCATAGGAGACAGGTCAAGGAACAAGAAGGTGCAAATACAAAAGCATCAGGGAAATGAACAGGCATCTTAAAAAAATGAAAGGAAAAGCTGTAAATACATTTTTAAAAAAATCTAAAACATTAGAAACAATAACTTTTTTTAGTGGGCATATTTCTTTATCTTATTTGTCTTCAGATTACGTGTTAAGGAGAGCTATCAGAGTGCAACATCCACGTTTGAGTATGAAGTTACAGAAGATGGCAAAATGATGATTTGTCAGAATGCCACAGCCAAATATGTTTTTGTTTTCAGCCTTCTCTTCTGGTTTGATTTGGTTAGTGAAACTGCTTTTTGGAGATGCAAAACAAGTTTGTTATGTTTAAAGTTAATATACTTTATTAAAAGGATCAGACTCGGACAGTGCTATAAAAGCAGGAAGACAGTGTGTCATCCCAATTAGTTTATGATGTTAAATATACTTAAAACTCAAATAGTCAGCTAACATACTAACTTGAAGTACCAGTTTCAAGGCAGTATCTTCCTTGTGTGATCCTTTACATAGTGATTTATCCTCAAAAGATTTTTCATTTTGTAAGTGGCAAAGGAAAAAAAGCTCTTCAGAGCCTTGGGATGGATGGCTGACTAATCATCACTACCTCTCAGGAACAGACTCTGAAGAGTGTACAAAATCTCATCAAAATTCTGGTTATGTCAAACATACAGGGAATTTTTGCTGAAGGTAGCACAGACCACTGTTCACATCTGAACTTACTAGTGTTATGTCCATCTACACAAGGAAATCAGAATAATCTCCACAGAACTCTGCTGACAGCCTCTCTAACAAGATGCTAAAAATGATGCCTTCTGAGAAGACGGTTGTTACTAAAACTAACATGTTATCCTACTTAAACTTCTGATTGTATGACTATCTAACCTGTAGAAATAGATTTTAAATAGCTTTTGAAAAAATTCTCTATGAAGAAATTTTGTGTCATGAAATTCAGAAAGTGAATTCTGGTCTTTTTTCTGTCTTCACGTCTAACCATCTAAAATTCTCCTACCAAAACACATGACAATTTCAGGCAGCTTCAAACTGAAGTACAACTGTTGAAACCTTAGTCCAGCATTTCAAACTGGGTATTTTTTTTCAGAAAATGGAGTGTAGCTCCCAAAGAAAGAAAGAAAAAGATAAAAAGATTGCAAGTCTAAGGATTAAAATATTAATAAAATTCAGTGTATGCAATTGTCATCCTGAAAATATTTCTATAGCCTTAGCTATAGTTTTAAATTAATAACTAATAAAATAATCACAGGTTCATTATGAAAGGATAAGTAAAAACAGATTTTCTGATAAGGTTTTGCATTTCAAGTGGCAAATACTAAAGAATAAAGAGAACTAGTTCATGAAAGTCAACTGCAATGAACTGAGAAAATTTATTACGGCAAAATGTTAGGAGGTTACTTGTTTGGGGGCTTTTTCCACCTCTGCTTAGATAAATTTCATCAGGAAACTGAATACAAAATCATGGAATATATTTGCAGACAAGATATCCAGTCCTAACTGGGCTAATAACAGCTTCAAAATTGTATCGGGGTAATCAGACAGTCTGAAAGGAGAGGATAGGAAACTTTTTAAGAGCTAATGCAGAAGGAAAAGTACCTTTCAGAGCTTGAGAGAACTGCATTATGCACTTGCACATCACTGCAACTCTTAACAGAATGGGAACAACCTTCTGATCGCATAGTATAAGCCAACTTTATTTCTCTGACTGATTAGTTATAATGACACCATCTATGGAACTAAACTGATAGTTAGATAGGAGGTAGAAGACTAAACCAGAAACAAAATGATGAATAGGAAAACAGTTAAAGGGAAGACATCTCTCATTGTGCTGCTTAGGGAAATATCTGGCTGGAGAGTACAATTCTTCTATGTGAGTAGTAGAAATATGTTCATTAATTTTTCTTATGAAACATGATATGTTTATGAGGTAATGTCAACACAGAAAACAATCTACACAAGGTAAGAGGAGGGCTGAGGGGGATAAAATAAGAATAGTGGGGTAAAATGTAATACTGAAAATGTGTAAGGTTGTGCAGCCCATAGGAAATAAGTAAGAATTGGCACTACAAGCGAGAGTACTGGCTCAGGACATTGGTTGACCTCAGAGTGATACTGACATGGTATGACTTTAGAAAAAGATTAACGTGTTCCTGAATATCTCAGGCTAATGTAACTGTATTTTTACCACAAAGACATTAGCTGAAATACCACATAAAATTCTGGAAGAATTTCAACTGAATTAAGTACAGCAGAAGGCTAGGACAATAATCATGGCAAGGTTGTTTGCTCTTAGCCAATGACATTACTAAAATAGCCTCCTGCTAGGAATGAGTACTCAGTTGAGGACAAATATGCACTGAATACTTATAGCAGTGAATCTAGCCTCCACAACAAGACCATGCAGTTTTCCATGTGCTACCATGACTGCAAAAGCAGCAGCAAAGTCAGTTACCAGCAGGTCCAAGTTTCTAGTCACAGTCTTCACTAAACCTCACTACACTGGCAAAGGCTGCTGCTTATAGACTTTGATCTCTCGAAACACTGTAGTTCAAGCAAATACTTCATTCTGTAGTTTTCAACAATTTAACACATAGAAACT